AACTATTCAATAAAATATATTCCACAGCTCTCTATATTAATTATATATATTATAATCATCAACGGTAAGAATTATATGTATTTATTTATTTTCTATCAAACTGATTTTATTCAAAATGAGATTTAAACAAGACTCAATTATAGAACGGTTTTTTTTTGTTAATAAGTTCATGTCTTTGCTTTATGATATTTTGTTATTACAAAAGAAAAGAATAAATCAATTTCATAGTATTAATTTAGTCAACTTTCAACTTTTTAAAAAGATTTTTCGTTTTAAGATAATAATTAGAACATTTTTTTTTTTTGCCAAGTATAAATCATCATTTGTACTGGACGAATGATTATACTTCATGTTGATACTTATCTTATATCCTCAAGAAAATCTTATATTAAGCGCAGACTTTTTTATATTTATATTCTAAAATTTAATTAACATATTACCTTTGACTTAACGATATTATTTTCATTTTAGAATGCTTTATAAAACTCCAAAAACTCGAATTTATGAATATTTCCTATTGTTTAATTCTAAGATCGAGTATTATTTAATAAAATTTCAATAGCGCAATGTTCGCCAAAGCATAACTGTGAAACATACCTATTATTTTCAACACTGATGACAAAATCTTAAAATGACAAAATTACGAAGATTAGTTATTATCTCAAAATGATAGGATATGGGTTCTTCTTAACGGTCGATAAATATATATATTTTAAACAAGAATTTCAAACTAGTTAGTACAAACTAATCGAGAGTTTAGAAAAGTGATTGATAGGCGCATATCTTTGTTAGAAAATTAAACGCAATTTAATCATTCTAAAAATAATGAAATTTAAAATTTTGTTTTGTTAGAAGATTTTTCAATGAATTCTCATATACGTAACAATTAGAATATCATTTCTAAAAATCAAAATTAATAGAAAACATCATACTGTTCAAAATTTATAGTTTCAACCAATACAGAAATATTTTTAAATTTTATTAAGAAAAACAACTATTTTTTACATCTCAATAAATCTTTCAAAAAAAAAATTATAAGTTTAAGCTTTATTTATTTATATTCCTATTGGAAGATAATATTCGTTGCATTAATTCTCTTGCTTTTCTGTTTTGAATTTCTCGTTGAATTCGAAAGTTTAATTAACATAGAGGTTTCTGTAGTTTGCAATGAATAAGTTTTTCGATATATATCAGACACTCTATCGGATAGTATTTACACTTCATAGTAATACATACTAATCTTTGTGATCAGTATATATGAGAAACTCAAGCGATTGTTGATAAAACAAGATATACTAAATTGTAGTAGTTTTCGATTTCGATTACAACTAAAGAAAACATATTGAAAAGTTCATTTTATTTTAACACAAGTGACATCGTTTGCTTTTACTTTAGCTCTTGCATTATCATTGGTATTCTACGATGAACGCTTATATGTATTGTCTTCTTCGTCTTTATTTACAAGAATTTTCATAAATGATAAATTTGTTTTGTTTTTTATTTGAATACTTCAATAGTCTAGGACTATTCAATTTGAAATTTCGTTTACATATTATTCCTCTATATAAATTCGATTACCAATATATATCCTCGCAACCTATTCAATTATCGATTTTTAATAAAATCAATTCATAATGAAAATAATTATTATCTTCCAGCGAAGTTTTATTTCTCTTTGGATATTGAAACGGAAATTGATGAATCTACATGCATACCTTATGAAACAATTCTTATCGGACAATAACACGTTTCAAATCCGGACAAGTTTTACACCTTGTGGGTCATCATTGGAATATTATTTCAGATAAAAGATTCATCCAGTGACTTATTGTCTTGTTATTGTAATACTAGTAGTAATTCTACTAAATGCTACACCCTTCAATATTAATGTTACTTTATATTAATGTTAATTACTAATGATTTTGATTTATATATATATACTATTATATCAATATTAATTATTCCAGTAAAAACTATTCAAAATCTAAATACTAGACATAAACTATAATAAAACAGAAGAAATTAGTTGTCTATTAAAACTAATATGTTCTTTAAAAACAAAATAAAACATGTTTCTTACAATTATAATCTTACGATAGTAGAACAAAAGGAATAAGATTTATAGATGGATACAGTTAAATTATGAAAGTATTTATCACGAAGATAATAATCTATGAAAATGCTTGCTGTATTGAATATTATTTTCGAGATCTTGTTCGAGCAAAAACAAAAGATAGAGAATATTGAGTTTGTTCGGGAGAATAGAAAGCTAAATATGATAGACGATTGACAGAAAAGAACATATATCGATGGCAACGATAATGTATGTATACGATATAGTGATGCGTAGGAATTTATCTACGAAAATAAGGAAAAATATCTAATGAGTGATATGAATAATAACAATACAAAAAATTTCAATATCGTCAAAAAATCATAATTAGAAAAAACTACTACAATCAATTGTTAGTATATCATATAGATTGAAGAGTTTATTAGTTAAGATATTCAACGAAAATAAATATAATCAAAATCAGTCATAAATTGATCATAATCAATAAAATTTATCGGTACAGTCCTATTCAATATCAAAATGTGAAACTAACGATATCTGATTGCCATAAAAAAATACAGTTGACACTTAACGAGGGCAGCAGTGTCCAAGCACTGAGAAATAGGAATTCCTAATTTGTAGAGGAATTGTCAGTGTAGCTATGCTAATTTCTTGGGGAAATGGGAATTGACCATTATTTCCATCACAGTTTTCTCATCCATGAAAATCAAGATAATGCTTTTTTTGCAATAACTTTCGTACTCATACGTTCTTGTGCACAAATTTCTTGATGAAAACGAGTGTAAGAGTAATAAATACCGTGGATATTGTATTTTTTTAATTTTAGCATTCAAGGAAATGTCAGGGAACTGAGCAGGAATTCCTATTCCTCAGTTCTTGGACACCCCTCAAATCCGAGGAAGGGGATACCTGGGAAAGTTCCTTCGTAAGGAAATCTATCATTTTTTACTTCTGTCATTAGCTTTGAGGACTTGAAGTGAAAGTATTGATCTATAGTTTTTATCACTAGTAAAATGGCCTTATTGACTTTTGATCCAAATTGTTAGAAGATAGAGAAAGTCAGCAAACTTCAACTTACAACTTCCATTCATGCATTTTTCTTTTATTCGAAAAACATGTGTGAATTGTACATGATACAAAAATTTGTAAAATATTTCGAATAAAAGTTCTATTTCTGGAAATATAATTCCTCTAAAACTTATTTACTGTTTAAAAAAAAGACTTGAAAATTAACAATATATTATTATATTATTTCGTTTTATTTTTCACCTTATCGAAATGTAAAATAGAGAAGAACCGACAAAATTAGAATAAATATTATCTTCGACCATCGTAAAGTTAGAATTTCAAATACTTGACTTTGTCGACATTCTATTAAATGTTGTTGATAATTTTCTCGATATCCTCTCCATCCACAATTATTAATACAATTAACAATTTGTTTTGGACATGTACAAGAAATATGATCATTTAAATTCGATCGTTGAATATTTATTTGTTGACATAATGTACATTGAACTAATAAACGATTTAATTGATTAAGTACAACACGACTAATAACAGGTTGAAAATGATATCCTGTTTGTCGACATGATGGACATGATTTTTGTTTTTCCATCCATTGTAATATACATGTTTTACAATATGTATTTCCACATATTATACAATTCATAGGTGATTGAAATGGTTCATCACATATTGTACATTTAAGTTCAACATCAATTTGATCTTCATTTATATATTTATAAGTCATATAATTTCTGTTTTTTTTCTTTTGATAAAAAATATCATCAAAAAAAGTGTGCGTGTTCTTCTATAGTCGATTTATTTATTTTTTTTTCTTGTTATACAGAAGTAGATACGAACGAAGAAAAATTAAAATAGTTTTCGTTCTTACATATCGTTGTCTACCTTTCTGTTACTTTCATACGAACACGTGTCTTCATTTCGATTATTCTTGTTTTCGTTGTATTTTTTTAAAATATTCTCTTGCTTTTGTTTGTTAAACAAGACATGTCAATTTCTGAAGTATTTAATTTATAAATTTTTTAAAGAATAAATTCATATTTATTCGAATAAAAAAAAACGATGTATCATTAATGCATTCTGTGTTCTATTTATTTAACACTTAAGAAATTTTTATAATTATTTATAGCAGATTCTTGTCTTTGAAATAGATTCAAGAATAAAGTAAAATAACTATATCATATGATTTTGTTCGAATTATGAAAATTGAATAAATAATTATTTGATTGAATAAAATTTAAAATTTATTTACAAAAGAAGCTTTAAAACGATACTTAATCCGTTTTATAATAATCAATAATTTCAGAATGAGAATATGACCATAAACTATATATGAATGATATTTGTCTAGTTATTCAACAATACTACAGAAGGAATCGGTTCGTGTTTTTTTTTTTTTTTTGGAACTGAATCCATTCTCTTGTTGATGCATACCGTATCATGTTGATAGGATAGAAAATAAAACATAGTTTATCTTTGTAAATGAAATTTAATTGAAGAGTAATTGAATTAAATTAAAAAATCTTCTTCTATCAAGATTTAAAATGATTTTAGTAAGAAGAATTTAAAAATATAAATAGATCTCTACTTCGAATTATTCGATAAACATAAAACAATCTGTGATTTAAATATAGGAATTTTTTTTTTGATTTATTATAAAATAATGATATATTTTTTGTTCAATCGATTAATTTTCTATATCTTTAAAATGTAAGACAGAAAACATGAATGAATAGAAAAACAACTATTTTTTTTTCTCTTTTGTTTACTTAATCACAGATCATGTCGTTATTTTCTTTCCTTTTTCTTTTCATTCGTTCGTTCGATCACGTTCTCTCTTCATTTTTTCTATCAGTACCCAATATATTTATCATACGTAACATTGTTATATAAATCGAAAATGGGTAGTATCATATCATCTTATTGTTTATCTTCATCAAATGATAATTTAATATCATCAAGTTTAATATCATCTCAACTTGTTCATCGTCATACACTTTCTACATGTTATGATGCAATATTTGATATATCATTATCTTCAAAATTAAATTCTATACTTATAAGTGATGATGGTAAACTTAGATTATTTAATATTGATCTAGAAAATGGTTGTCAATTAATTGAAAAAACAATATTATCAACAAAATTATTAACACATGAACAAGTACAAGATATTCAATGGAGTACCAAACTTGATCGTTTTCTTATTCTTACATCAAAACGTTTAACAACATTTGATAATGAAAATAATTTAATTGATCTTAATCTTGTACTTGAAAAAGGTTATTTTTATATAAGAAATTTTAAATATTTAAAAAAATATTTTATTTTGATTTTAAGGTAGTCCTCCATTTTGGCGTATGGCTTGTTGGTCATCTCATCTTATTTTAAATCTTGGTTTAGGTACATCTATTCGTTATTATAGATTAGTTTCATTAACATCACTTCCTTTAATTACTTCATTAACACGTTCTTCTCTTGGTTATACTAATTCAGATTTACTTTCATCACTTGCACTTAGTCCACAATTAATTCTTGCTATTAATGTTGAATTAAATAATAATCGTCATGTACTTGATTTATTTTCTATTAATGATACATCAAAATTTCATCGTCTTAAACGTATTGATTCAAATGAACCATGTTCACTTGATATAATAACATCATTACGTAATTGTACATGGTTATGTAAATCACATTGGCCATCAGATGATTGTTTATGTATAATTGAATCAAATGGTCAAGTTAATAAAGTTAAATTACAAGAAGAAAATGGTTATATTCTTAATTTAAGATTATTAGCTGATCGATCACATTTAATTATTATACGAACACCAAATAAATTACCAAAAGAAATTGATGTTACAGAATTGAATAGAATTGAACAAGCTGAAGAACAATCAATACATAGACCAAGAGAAAAAATAATTGGCAAATTACCTGGAAATCTTTTATTAGAAATTTATAAAATTCCATCGACATTGAAATAAAAATAAAGTTTTTTTTCTTGTCATATAAATCATTTAGAAAGAAATAAAAAGATTGAACAACTTTTACTTTTTTTTTCACTATAGAACAAATGCAACAAAATAAATCAAAGTCTTGAGATTTTTGTTGCAATGTATTAATGCATTTCCGTCATTTCGAAATAAAGTTTTTTATTTAAAAGATTCAATTTTTATTACTCGATAAAACTATAGATTTCTATTCATGATCTTTTTTTTTTTGTTGATATACAGTGTCAAAGATTACTTGAAAATAAACTAATTATCAATAGAATCCTTCTAAGAGAAGTAATCAGCATACTTCGTAATTATTCAAGTAATGTTATTCTTGATTTCAATGTGTGTCAGTTTTCGTCACTTGAAAATCTTCTTTTAAAATAAATAATGTAATTGATTTATGGATTGATTGTTGGAAAAGCGATGATCTTTATCAACAAAGAGAATATAAGATAAAAATCTTAATTTTATAATGCGATGTTAGGAATTAGCATTCAATTCATTGATAATACTATGATAGTTTTCTGTTTTCTGTTGATAGAGATCATCGGTCTTCTAAAAATACATGCACACATTGGTTATGTTATTGATTTTTGAAGGAAAACTTTCAATTAATGAATACGAACGGATTAAAGTAGAAAATAACATGATTTACGCAATTAAAAAAGTATAATGATAAAATGTCGTAAAAAGACTCACAATGGAGGGTCGTCACTTGTATTTCAAGACTTGTTTGCATGCAAAATTTCAAGTCGAAATTCCAAAATGAGTTTTCCTGGTGTTTCTGAGGAGAGTCACGACATTGTGAGTGGGTGTGAGAATCTTCTCTGTATTCATCCACATCTTTTTCTATATGAATACTGAATCAAAGGTTTTAACTATACATAATTGTTTTATTAAATTTTGATTATGAAAACATCTTGTATCAAAGCTATTGATAAAACAAGTAGGAATGTTTCTTTTTTGCATTCTCAATCAGCCATAAAATGATGAAATAAAAATTCTTGGTTTCTTCAAACAATAAATATTATCTGTACAATTAATAATGCAAATAGAAAAAGAATAATTGTTTTGATTCGACCATCTTTGCAAAATAGATTTCAATATTTTTTTTTTCGTTTCCTATGAGTATCTGACTGTATTACAATCTTTAAATAGATTGATAAACATGCAGCATAGTATAAGAAAAAATCTAATTAGAATGATGACACTGTCTACAACTTCCGACTAGAACATTTGATTAGAAGCTCAAACAAAAGAAAACAGTCTAATGGTAGTTTATAATTATGTAATAATGAAGAATAATAAAAAAAAATCGAAAATATAAAGTATTTATATTTACAAATAATTTATGCAAAATTGATCAATAAAGAATTTTAATAAGTCATGAACAAAGAAATTTAGGTTCAGTTTAAAATTGCATTTTGGATTAATTTAACGGAAAAAGTAAAACAATAGAATATTTCTCATGATTTCTATAATGAAATCTGAGAAAAATATCGGCATTTATTAGCAATTGTATTAATTGTATCGAAGAAATTCGTGTTTTAAATGAAGAAGCATCTGTCCAACGTCAATCGATCGATTATTTTTGTTTTTGCCGGATTATTTTACTGATGATAGTACAGATTTTATCATAAGACTATAATTTAGAGTAAAGATTTTGTTTTTGAAAAATCCACTGAAACAAGAAAACATTTTCTAAATTTAATATTGACAAATCATATTGACTATATTTTATATAAATTTTTTAGAACTCTTGACTAGACGACAAAATTTCTACACGATCATCAATATCGAACAAATAAAATTCAAGTTGCCATGGAAATGGACATTTGCTGATGTTAACAGTCATTTCATGTGTATTTTTGGTTTGTTCATTGAAATAACCGATTTTTCGATTATCACAATCGATTAACAGCTTTAGCTTTAACATTGTTTCGCCTTGTAAATCCTTCGAATTTTGTCTAGTTTTACAACCACTGTCAGGATTGTTCATGTAATCGTCAGTTTGCCAACCGTAGCCAAAATATTCCTTTTTAGACGATCCTTCCAATATACGGAAAGATTTTGAGACGATATTAAAAGACACCACATACAGTGTAGTCTTTTTGTTAATGATTAATCGAATTTTATGTTTTCCCTGTGAATACTCGCCTATTCCGCGTGCGTATGCATTACTAGGTTCACTACTACCGTGTTTAATCACATGACCATTATCTTCAATATTAATATCGCCGGATATTTCTCCAAATTGTTCTTCGAAGTCTAGTTGTTGCACTGTAGAGGAGATATACATTTTGGCAATAAGCACATTGGTTGGATCCTCATGAATATTAATCGAATGAAAAACAGCAGTAACATAACGTTTCCATTTTTCAAGTTTAGTTACCCATATTTCAAGATCAGTTTCAACATAATCATCATTTGTACGAGCTTTTCGTAATCGTTCAGCAAGATCATGCAGTTTCTTTGACACTATCTCTTAATTTGACAAATATTAATAAACAAATATGATTTATTTCTCATTTCAATTTACCTGTTTGTGTAGTGATCAATTTATTAACTTGTTGTCGTGCTTCTTCTGCTGTTTTTCGAATCCTTTCGATTGCATCTGTTTCCCATCTGTTAATTTGTTCCATAAGAGGATGACAACGATTTTGTTTATCTTCATGCTCAACAATTGTCTGCTGTAGAGTATCATGTTCGAGAACAATTTCGTCTAATTGATGACTAAGAATGTCTCTATGTTCAATAGAATGTTTTCGACAAAATACTTGTGTGCATCCTTCACATTTAAAAATACCCACACCATTTTTGTCGCATGATGCACAAAGAGTTTTTGACGGCATTGAAGACGTCATGAAATTTATTTCTTCGTCGTAAATGAAGAACGAGAAAGAGTAAAGTTATTCTTTATGTGTTTCTTCATTGCGTCGGAAGAAGTCGATGATTAATACAAGAACGAAAAAAAGATATTTGTGAGGCAAACTATTATGAGTTCATTTTTTTTCTGTTGCCTTTCTGATTATGTAATGAAAGATGAAGATTTATCAAAAAGTGTAGGGTGGGGTGTGGGTGTGCGGTTGTTGCTATGATACATCGACATCCACGCTCACACCTCACATCCCACACCCACACCTACACCCCACCTACACCTACCGCCCCACATCGACACCCACACCCACACCCACACCCACACCCACACCCACACCACATCCACACCCACATTCACACCCTCACCCACCCACACACTCAAGTTCTTGCAGAGTATGGCTGTAGATATTAGTTTTCTCTTGACTCATATCCACATACCACCAACGTTTCGCATTTACAAATGCTGTATTGCTTAAATCAACGGAAATACTCAAGGGCACCGCCAAATGACGCCGCTCCTCTGCTGATAAAGTAACAGATATACTCTAATAACTGGCCTGTAACGAACTAGTTCATGTAAGAAGATTACTATGAAATTATACTTGACTGATTGAAAACTGCGCACTACATGAAATGTTAAAGGCTAAGAAATGTAATTGATCAACGAGTTTTAAAGAAGTAGAAATATTTGGAGAGCAAGCTATGATTTCAACATATTCAACAAGAAGGTTTAAAACAAAGTTTCGAAATGTAAAGAGGAACCTATTCTGTAGAAATATTTCGAAAGTACAACAGAAAATCATGAATTTTCCAGAAATACTTTCCTAAACTTAAAAACAAAGATTTCTTAATTTTTCTTTGGATTCGCCTAGAAAAAAACCATTATTTAGTATTTATCAAACTGAAAATACGTTTTTTTTTCAAAACCCCAGGTTTCCAGATGAAGATAGAACAAAAATTAATTTTCGATGAAAGACATGTTTAGTCAAAGGATGTGGATTTCCATAATAGAAGATGACCAAAGATCGGTGTCAATTGTTTGTCAATATAGTAATATATATCTCAAGTAATGTTTCGGAATAACTCAGTTTGAACAGCGTCGATGTTGTTTCTTATATTAAGAGAAAAAGTGACGTCAATGATCAGTCATTGCAGTATATAAAATTTGTGAAAAAAGTCAAACTACTCCATTGTTTTTTTTATATTGATTTTGATGAATGGGAAGAGTAACAAAATCAGTGCGTATCATACGATAGATGAATGTTTGGTAGTATAGATTGTTTATCAATTACACACCGATATTAGGAATGATAATCTTTAAAAGCACTTTGCTCTTGACCGTTTTATTCGACATATGAAACTATTTTCTTCAAATAAGTTTTAAAAAAATTGTGTCTTGATTCAATTAACTGCGAAGCGAGTGTTTACATTGAATATATTTGGTCCTAGTCTCAAATAGTCGACAAATGTGAGATTCGGCTCTTGTCGCTTCTCGTTAGAAGCATTGTATGCTGCAACAACGCCTGCATGAGCTTTGCTTCGATAAAGCATATAGGTATTGTGATTGCCAACATGTAAGAGAACTCTAATAGTGTTCTTATCGTCTGTTGCCGCAACTATTCGTCCTGTACCTTTCTTACCGAATCCCAGGCGAACCAATTTCATCGAAAGAACGTCGAACATTTCCCAACCATCACGATGATTATGATGGATTTCAAGAGCTTTTTTTGCTTCTTGATGATATTCAATTACCTTCCAGTTTTTTTTATTACAAAATGTCGAAAAATCTGTGGAGTCCAATGAACTAATATTTGATGTTGTACTTGCATTCGAGCTACATTGTAAAACGTGACATAAATCATTGTCATAATGAAAGTAACGCCTTAGATCAACTAAAGCTAGATTGAACTTTTGTAATGCATCCACTCCAGCCATGTCATCGTCTGTAGCCCATTCATTTCCTTTGTGTTCAGCAAAATTTAGCATGGATGTCACTTCCTTATTTTTATCGTCATGATTTTCGGCGCTACGTAAAAGTGTCACGATCAATAATTTATTAATACGTTTGTCGGGCCAATCTATTTCATCCTGTTGAGATATTATTTCAGCGACATCACGGATATCTAAGTCGAATACATGTAATACAATTAGACGAGCAAAACTATCATGCCGAGAGTCATTATTGTCTTTGTTGATCTGAAATCCCAATGCACACTTTATAATATATAACTTATTCGTAATTGAATTTTCTTTGATTTCTAAAAGAGAAAATGAGAATCATTGCACTTTTACATCAGCTGGTTCAAAAATTCTGGTCTAATGATACATTAGTAGAAAGACAAAGGATATGCATTCAGTATCTTCAGCAACTGTTTCCTCATAGTGGCTATTTCTGATGGCAACGCATTATCTATATGTTTGTATTTTTGATTAATCTGTTTATAAAAAGCAGAAGCTTTTATTACGACTGTCTTTGTGTTCATAGTGGATTTCGATTGTATTTTGAGTTCTTCAATGTACTTTGATTGCAATGCAAGTCATCTGAAGATTGATGAGAAGTGCCTATATGATAGAGATACCGATCAGTATCCCACCATTCAAAAGCTGTCAAACGGATTGAGAAAACTTGTGAGTCTATTAGAAGTAGATTAGTGATTATGAATAAGTAATTCGATTCTTGATCAAAACATCTTAAAAGGTTCTCTATAGAAAGACAAGTGCATTTGAATTTACTCATTACTATTTTTTAAGCAACGAACAAATGTCAATTCCTGATTAAAACCGACGAAGTATTATTTCAACAATCTTTTTTGTCTTGTTCGCATAGGTTTTCTTTGTATTTCAATTTGATAGGTAGCCATTTTGGATGTGACGACATTTAGCACATGTCTAAATACTTTTCAAGGTATGTTTCAAGCAATTATTTCCCCTTTCAGTTGATGCTCGAATCATGTTGATCAAGAATTCTTAGTCTGATCGATTTCTCCTTTTCCGAGATGTTTTCATCGTTGAAGATCAGTACCAACACTCGTAACGTGAACTAATTCAATTAGACAGAATGAATCTTTTTTTTTTGTATACCTTTTAAAAATAGACAAACATTCTCAAACGATAAAAACTATTTTTATGAGAACATATACAGAAAATTCGTGAACTTTTATAACAACTATTCAAAAATGACTTCAGAAACGATTACACATTAGAAGTCAAGTACTTTAACTCGACATACCTTGTCGTTGCTCGTCGACAAATAATATTGCTTCGTTTTTATCTTCATTCGTGGAATCCTGTTTGAGGTTTTCTTGTCCAACAAGCATTTCAATTTTATGTTCTTCACCGATCATCTTTAGTTTCTCGCCAATGTCTTGTACAGCTTGAGCCAAAACTTTTTCGATTTCCACATTCTTAGAAGAATCATCATTCGAATTGTGATCTTCATGTACTACTGCCATGTCTTCCGATGAAATCTCTTTCAGTTGTTCTTTATCAATAGTAATAACTACATCTGACAACAGTTTGGTCTCAAATCTTTCGGAGAGAATATGTAAAATGCCGCTCTATATCGAGAAACAGAATGTTATTATAGTGTGAAAACAATCGTTTACCTTCTTGGTAGCACGTCGATAATAGGCATCTAGCAGGACACATACAACACCTGCTGCTATAACGAAGCAATACCAATAATTCCAAAGATCTTCTTCAATCATTTTCCCATGTGCTTTAGACCATAGAATGAAGAGAGCACAAGACAGTAGATGAATCAAACGATCCAGAGTTTCTGCTATGTCGATGCTCAAAATAGGATTGTTGGGCTTGAATGTGCAGAACTGAAAATAGACGTACTTTAAAATTGGTTCTATGATCTGCTCGATACCACAAACTTGACCATCTGCCTTAGCGACAATAAATAAATGATTCTTCAGTTGCACCAAGTCCATGACTTCCGGTGTCTGCTTGTATAGAAAGTTTGTCACATATTCATCGTAGGATAAACTGCATTTATCGATAGCATCATCACTTTGATGTTGAATCTTTGCAAGTTTTTCTGGCGATTTGACCGTACCTTTTGTCAGCACTTCAAAATTATCTTGCATTACATTGGGTAGTAATTTGTGTCGATCAAGTTTGTTAGGCACGGCTAACTGTAGAGAGAGCATGGACACTATATTATTTGTTGATACTTGTAGTTCGTGCCGAATCTTCTCATGAGTGTGTTCGAGTGGAAATAAGCAGTTGAGTAGCCGTGCAATACCGTCATTCAACTGCTTACTCGTTGGTGCGTGAAGTATTTTTGTTCCGTTTGTTGAAACATTATATTTCCCGTTTGATTCGACACTTCGTGTCAAGCCATTAAAAATAAGATCATTCAGAGTCACTGAGTTGATTACCATTTCCTGTTTGTATAGAAAAGAACTAAAGCGTTTGAGTAAATGCATCAATGTCAATAATAGACTATTGGGATAATATGAACTGTATTGATACTACCTGATGAAGTTCGAATCAAAGATCATGTTCTTGCTCGCTTTTATCAAACAGGATTACTGATTAAGCGTTACAGACCAGGAAGCTAAAATTTTCTTATTAGCGAATCACAACAAAGTTTTTCAATAATAAGATATCGAAATATTCCATCAGATTTTTCAACTGCTATGTTTTCTGTGAATTCAGTGATTCAGAAAGTAGGCGCATGCTCATGTATTTTTAGATATCTTAATTTTAGTCTATAGAAACTAGCAGAAACTCAGAATCCATCCAACGTACGATAATAGAGAACTGTAATTATTCGACTTGATATCTTATGCCTTGGATTGAATGCTATTGAGTATAATTGACACTGACTCAAAGAATTGGCATGAAAATCACAATTGATTACTTTAAGAAAGATTTAAAAGGAGCAGTCGCAATGAAATGTCACCTAATTTAATAAAAAGTAATCTAATAACATATTTCTCATATAGTACGTACGAATGTTCAGTGGTTGTCAATAATCGTCTTCTTGTTCAAATTATATTCAATGTATTGAAATCGATCGCGTTTTGCTATTTTTTTTCTATAAGAAAGCAACATTAATATGTTGAAAATAATATGCCGTTGGTAGTGTATTTTTATGCAATGTGAACTGGTTTGTCAATTGGTTCGGGAAGGAGTATAATTAACTCTTATTAAATGCATTCTAGCGAGGGAATGAATACATTATAACTTGCATTCTCTTTCTTCGCTACAAACTATCGCATGCCTTTAAATTGACAGAAATGAGAAAAAGAAAATGTAAAGAAATCAATATTTATAACGTGTTCTATGGTGGCAACGTTCGATCTTGAAGAGGACGTAGTGATTTTCACTAATGCAAACAAGAGTCGATGCTGAGTTGGCCATTTCCAGATCCTGCTAAGTGGTACTGAAAATATGAAGTACACCTTTCATAATATTATAGTAAAAATACTAATGGATATGACGTCATTCTAACGATAAACAGCTACGTTTCCATCTCTTTCTCCTAATTTCATGCGTCAAAAAAGAAGTTGTGGTGCTCTCACCTCACAGAGATGATACTCTTGTTACGCTCATCAATGTCATACGCCAGACCTGTCATAAGGGATGACCGGATTCATTGCCGTTGTAAACTTTTGTTTACAAACACAACTATGCTTTTTCAATTTAAATCATAAGTTTTTTTTCTTTCTTTAGAAATAAATAATATGATTCAGTTAGATAAAAGTTAATGATTACTGTGAAAAAAATTAGTATTTTTTTCTATTTTCTAACTCAAAAGTTAAGTTTTCATCTCAAATGTTCATAAAAGTAGCTTAAAAATCTGTGCGTAGTTCGTAATTAAACAAATCAACGGAAGTTTTTTTCTAATTTCTAGTTCAAAGGATTAGTTTTCATCCAAAATATTCGTAGTTTTATCTATTAGCGATTCTATATTTCATATTTGTCTCATGGATCATTACGATTTCATAAATCGTATGAGTAACATTGATTTTTCTGAAACTATACAATAGTTATGACTTAGTAAATTGGCTTTTCTATTTATAATTTTATCTAGAACGTTTTTACTTATCAAATCTTAGATCTGACTTTTTCTTGATTGGAATCAATATACATCTCTTGTGATCAACATTCGGCAAAGGGGGAAACAGCAGACTTCAAGACTTCAAGACTTCAACGGACTTCAACGGACTTCAACCATAGTGACTTCCTATTTTCACAAGACTTCCAAAGACTTCGTGAGACTTCATAGACTACGTGAGACTTCGCGGACTTCATGAGACTTCACGAATTTTGTGAGACTTCACGAATTTTGTGAGACTTCACGGACTTTGTAGGACTTCTTGAGACTTTATAAGACTTCATTAGACTTCACAAGACTTCATAAAACTTCACAAGACTTCGCCAGACTTCTCAAAACTTCATAAGACTTCAAGAGACTTCAAGAGACTTCATGAGACTTCATGACACTTCATAAGACTTTGTGAAACTTCAGAGACTTCAAGAGACTTTATGAGAATTCATGAGACTTCATAAGACTTCAAGAGACTTCACAAGACTTTGAAAGACTTTCAAGACTTCATGAGACTTCACGACTGAAGTCTCTGCTGTTTCCCCCCTTGGATACACCCAAAACAGACCGACAATGCCTAAATCATCAACATGGTTACCATTATGCTCGATAGAGTCTCCACATTTCTTACTCTTCTTTTTATTCTTTCCTGTACAGCAAATTGGTGGCGACAATCATAGCGTATAGTCACATGTTTTTCTATGCTTTTTGTGTATTCCTCTTACTTCGGAAGGTTGAGAACAAGCAAATGCATTCTTCTCTTGTACGAAAAAATCTACTCTGAATTGAGCATCACTTTAAGATTGTCAAACTGGTCTTATTGTAAAAAGAACTTGATTGACATTCCGAAGTTTTCCAGCCAATGCTGTTGTTAGTTGCTGCAGTGTTTGTCTCGGTTGTCATTGGTTTCATTCCATATGGTCACATCCGAGACCAACATATTTATTAAGTAAGTCAGAAACAAAATTGTACATTGATTCACAGAGCAATACTCAAAATCAATCATGTTTATGTAGGGACCAACATCGCGAGAATTCGGTCATCCATTGTGACTAAAACGGATGAAATGTAGGAGCAACTTTTTGATGGTTCAGAGGCAATTATGACTTTCTTTCGCCAATCAAATATAGAGAAATTCTCCCTCGCTCGTAATGTTGCCGAGTTTGAAAAACATATATGCTCAATAGCGTTCTTAGTATTGCAAAATCAGAAACGGCTATAATGTCTAAAATGAAAAAGTTAATCCTTCGTCTAGAAACAAACACTGGAACAGTTGAATGAATAAAAATGGCACTTCTCATTTTACTTCATTTCGTCTTCGAATAAGTTATTAGGCCTACAACTACATGCGAAATTCGACGAGATACACTGTAATGATACCGGCTCTAGCCAAATGAAACTCAATTTTTTTTATCATTGATACATGAAATTTGTCGATTCTTTTTATTTCTCTTGATTGAGATTCTGTGGATGTTGCTAAGAAAGATCCGTAATACTTCAGATGGATGAATTTAAATTTCTATAGGTAATGCAATCAATGTCGAGAAAATTCTCAAGGTCATGTCGGAAGTAGAACGAATTTGTTCTCGTTTTTCTCAGCCAAACTTTTACACAGCATTCTTTTGTGCCTGATTACAATTGCTACGCTATAGATCTATATTTTCAGCAAAATTTCGAAAATGCCATTGTCTGCTTTCGAGGTATTCATGACGGATTTCATTTAATTTCTATCCTACATTTTTTATTTGTAGTTGGTTAACGTAATCATTCTAATATGCAAGAACAGATCGAAGACAAAACATATGGGCTCTATGCGAAGATCAAAATCTTTTATTCAATTCTGTATATTATTGAAACAGACAATTCTGAATTTTGTTTGCTTTCTCATGTGAATCCAATGAATCTCGAGGTTATGAGTATAAAAAAGTCTTCCTTTTTTAACGCTTCTTGTTTTCGAAAACAAATGTCAATTTGACATAAACGATGCAAAACCTATTCTTTAGGGCCAATGAAAATAGTTTCTTCGGACAACGTCAACCTATTCTGAAAGAATTCACTACACCAAGCTAAGATCAGAAATCAGTCAATAATTTTACGAGTTGCTTTATATAAGGCATTGAGTTAGATGTAATCCGAATTATTCAATGTCAATCTGCATTTCATAAGTCCATGGCAAGTCTTTTTCAAGGTTGAACATCGAGACCGAAAGCTATTCATGGAAATAATCAATGTGAGTATGAGCAAGTACTTTTTTGTTTATATCTATCAGTAAAACATCCACAGTAACTTTCTATTTATTCCCACTGCTTCTTTTTAGCATCGGTAATCTTTAAGTCCTCGTAGCATAATATCTGTTATTTATTTTGTCCATATGGTCAGAGGGAAGAGGCCAAAAAGAGGGAGCTAAGAAGGTTTTAGCCCATCCTAAAGAATGTCTTTAGAAAGTTCTAATTATGGACTTGTTTACAGGATAAATCGATGCTTAGTATGGTTCAGCTGTAATATGCAATATTACTGAATGTATCGAATGAGCTCGTGTTCTGTTGTACTGTGACATAGAATTCTGCTTCTTCATAGAGCCAAGAAATATTTGTAATTTGTTTGTACCCAGTATGTCCTGTCTTGTCGATACACATTTTGTGAATGTTGTTAAGATTTCGTTCTAAGTCAATAGAGTGATAAGAACTATGCAAAAAAATATTTACAGCAGTAATGAAAATGTCGACATGTTGACACAGAGACGTTTGCAGAGATCAATAAGTATGTTTGATTTTTATTCCTTGGGGGCATGGTTTGAATCAATTCTCAATCTTCGCATTTCTTCAAAATGCAAACATGTTGTTTTAGTAACGTGAAGGATTGACATATTCGAATAGATCTTACTTTTTTCCCATTCTCCTCTCATAGTTGCTGATTTCTTCCAAAAAAATCATCACACCACCTCGCAAAAGAAACAGCAAGGTATACTTGAAAACTGACGTAGTCACATGTCGTGCGTTGTTGCGCTTCACGGTGCTGCAGGATCAGGTTGAGTTGTTCTATTTCTACGTTGATTTTGCTTTTGTCTGCATATCGACAACATAAAAATGTTGCTTGTGTGAAATCTGAATGAGAGATTAAATCGACACTCATACGTTCCATGAAAGAACATTTGGGTAACGAATGTATGGTGATCGAAGAGGATCTTGACAAATTATTATCAACATCGGGTACCATTAATAATGGTGCATTTTGGTTTCAACGAACAACAGCAATCAGTGCGAGTGATAGAGTCACCCAAATCATGATGGAAAAATTCAGTCCACTATCGATACTGATCTTTACTGTCATTATTTATTTACTATTTGGGAGCTTATGGCCTGTAATTGGTGTTTTCATTGTTTGTTTTTCGTTTTGTCGAATTTGCCGTTGGTTGATCAGTCAAATCTTGTCAAAAATGTGGCTGTACAATGTAGACCTCTTTTCAAATCGTCAAAAGAAGAGTGATTACCGTTGGGTTTGGCATGATCGAACTTGTGTCGATATTTACACGTATTGTATTTTGAATCAAGCAAAAGCAGTACCATCAAATTTGCCGACAATTCTTTTGGAACAAACATATGAAACTAGTGTGGCGTTTATTCTCGATCGTCCACAACACATTATTGAACAACATTTAAAAAGAAGAATGTCTTCACCAAAGAGCTCATTTTCCATGGCTTTGGTCACACGACTCATGTTATACTTGGAATTTCCCGTTCGAGCATCAATTGTTGCGCTCACATTAGTTGAACGTTGGTATTCGCATATGAAGATGCCAGTTATTAAAATTAGTCAAATTGATCATCAATTAGATCATGATCCGATAACAGGCGATATTCAATGGAACCAACAATCGATCAAAATTCTTCTCGAGAATATTGAACGAGTGATTCAAAAACGTGAACTTCCTTCTTCGATTATTGACGATTCGCTTATTCCATGGCAAACCGAGCGAACTATGCATCTTTGTCGATGAACAACAAAAAAAAAATGACGATCTACGTTTTTTCACACATAGAATCTAGAAAAATATACATTTAATCATCGTTTTCAATTGAGTTTTTTAAAGCATCTTTCTAAACATTTTAAGTTTAGATTTAGTTCTAATAAAAATGAGACAAATCCATTTTTCTTCCATTGTCTTTACGAAATTTCCCATGAATATCCTAAAATTCAGATGATTACCGTGAAAATACCGAATAAACTTGACTTCTTGGAATGTGGTGACTATGTAACGAATTAAAAGTCATGCTTTATTCTTACTGTTCAAATTATTCGAGGTATTATCGAACGACAATGCGTTTTCAGAGCAGTAAGCTTATTCGAATGGCTTGATTGTATTCATATGCACTGGTTTCTTAGAATATCTACGATGACACATTTCAATTATTTACGTTCGAGTTAAGTCATTATGAGTAAGAAATAACATGATATCTAGAAACAGTTGAAATACTAGAAACAAGTCACTTTCCACATTCAGAAATCCAACAAAATACGTATTTACGGTACTTGGAGAAACAGTTCTGTTCGCTGATAATTTCTTTCGATGGTCTATTTATCGTATGAAACTGAGAATTATCTTCATCAACTGCAGCTAAATTTATGGATACTAATTTGGCTATTTCTCATTTGCGAACATAAAGAAAATAAATTTTAAGTAAATTAAAAATTTTAAAATTTCGTTTGATTTGCAGATTATAATTTTATTACCTTTTTATAAAACGTTCAAAATATATAGTTAACTGTTGAAAATTTGATTATTGAGAACGAATATATAAAGTAAATTGTTTTAAAAGATTTTAATAAAAAGCTATGTTATTTTAACTAAATATACTATAATTTGTAGAGGACGTTAGTTTTGGACAACAGAAAAGTTTTTGAGCTTTAGATGGTCACTGCAATTTGTAGAGGACGTAAGCTTTTAGCGTGTGAGTGTGAGTGTGAGTGTGGCTGTGGTGTGAGATGTAGGTCTAATGTGGAGTGTGGGTGTAATGTGCGATGTGGGCGTAGTGTTAGATGTGAGATGTGGATGTGGGTGCAGATGCGAATGTGCATGTCGTTGTGGACATTGATATTGGCGTGGGTGTGGTTTCGGATTTGAGTGTCGTTGTGGGTATGATGTTGGGGTGGCAATGAGTCTGTTCTTCACTCATAGTCATCCACCTATGCCGACACCCATACATCTGCACCCACACTCAAACCTATATTTACTGAAGAGAAACTTCGACGATCGAATCAATTCATCCGACCCCGTTCTCATTATGATGCTCTCTTCATTTCTTGATGCAATAGCAGAAGACGCATTGCTTTTTCTTGGAAAAATTTCTCCGATTACATCCGACTTTTTCTTACTACTTTCACTATAAATGCAGAAAGAAACGATTCTTATAAAGTACGTTCTTTCTGATGAAAGAAAAACAAACCGTCTGCCATAAGAGGTAATGAATTTTAATGACTACCCCAACAGCAGACTATAAGAAAAATAAAACTAGAACTCCAGTTGAAAAATCCGAGAAAAATGAAGTACAACTTTTGAGAGTGCAGCGAGTCAAGAAAAACATGGTCGAAAGTTATGTTTACTCAAGTGAAATCCACAAGCCATGAAACAACTTCAAATTCAAAATGAGCGTGTCACTCTGTAATGGAGAAAAATCTAGTTTCGTGTCCATAAAGTACGGGATAAATTTTCGATGAAAAGAAAAATACTTCTCTAAGTGTTATTTCATTTTGCTTGTTCACCCCAATAATTTTAAAAATAGCTAAAAAAGTAGCGAAAAAATGGAGATTTTCAATGCTAGTCAGTTGAGGGTACGTTCAACGTACTAAATTTTTTTGTCAACAAATAAAGGCAAGACAACAAATAAATATATATTGTGATAGAGAATTTCAAGCTCTGTCAGAATATATGATTATTGTTTCAAAAAGATATTTCTATAGCAATGATAAATTTAAAAAACTAATTGAAAAGACAGTAACAAAACCTAGCTCGTGCAAGTCTGACTCGGAGGGTGCTCCCATGGCACTCGATTTATTTTTCAGCAAATAGGTGCAAATTAAAACAAAAAACAATTTATAGGGTGATAAAACAGTTTCGAGCGCTTCCAGAATATCAAATTATGTTCTTAAAAATATTTTTTTATCATATCAAAATATTTAAAAAACCGACTATAATTTTTTTCCAGCAGTATGAACCAAATGGTTACATATTTCATATTGGTATTGAAAATAGAATGAAGAAGTTATTCAATAGAAAAAAATATCGAAAAAAATTTCTTTCGAGAAATTATAATTTTCCAAAAAAAACGAAACCGAGTTAGGTTTGATAAAATAATCTTCTGAAAACTTTTCCCTAGGAACATATCGTATAGTGTTCAAAAGATAGTATCCTATTGACATTTCTGAAGGCAGAATTCGGTTGTCATCACCTAATCTTTATTCATTTTTTTTGTCACTGGCCAAAGGTGAGATTATGCAACCTCATAGATTAAAAAAAGAATTATTGCTTGAGACTGATTACTTCGTTTCCCTCGATCCAGTCAAAATGTGACTTTAACAATAATGGTATGGGACTACTCTGTTTGGAATGCTGACAACCGTTCGAAATTCTCAGTTTCAAGATAAACAAATGTATTAGTGGCTTCTGAACACATATATTTTGGTACAGGAGATTCAAGAGTATGGGAAAGTATTTTGCTAAACCGTCTTTTGATGTCAAGTTTACAAGTGAATCGAAGAACAGGAATGAGCGATGTGATACTGTAACACGTGCAAATCATTCATAATACTTAAAAGAATTCTTGAGATCTCTCATTGTTCTTAAATTGTCTAATAAAAATTAACCGCTTTTTAGTGTGATTAAGTTAAAACTACGATTCTGTTGATTGAATAGAAAAAAATTGCAATCATATCTCCTTCTATGTTTCAGAATATCTCATCCAGAACATTTTTCAAGATTGACCAGAAAACGAGAAACGAGATTGTTATTCTTCTTCTGTTAATTATATCAGAATTATCATAGAAGAAGATATCTGACAACAGAATTAAAAAGTAGAGCTCTGTGAAATGATGATAAATTAGTTAGTATCATGTCACTTCCAGGATATTTTTCATTTGGCTTCGACATGCCTTATCAATGCTGGCAATTTTCTTTTCAATTAGAGAGTATAGGACTTCTTATATACATAATGATTCATCACATGTCTGAATATTATTCACACGAGGAAGAGTTTCATAGTTACGCTAATACAATACCACCAGTTCAATCGAAAACGATGGAAGGGGATCTTTCTCACCATTATAATTCAACCACCATAGAATACTAGAACAACGATGTTAGGATATTATCTGTTCGAATAATAATATTGAGCTAGAAGCGCTAAAAGAAATAATCTAGTTGAGCTTTTCGCTTGAAAAACATAGTTTTCAGAAGACAGAAAGCACTCTATCTAATAGCATTAGGAAGAGAAAAGATTAATTAAAAGTTACTGATATAATTCTGAAAATGAATTGGCACAATAATGCAGGCTCTGAGAAACTGACCACGAACTGAGTTAGAATTATAAAATCAAGACAGCATGTTACCGAGCTTATTATGTTCATGAGAAGAATGATACTCGTTCAGCGTGAATCACAATGCACTAGGCCAAGATCTAGTCGTCATGATTCATCGATGAGCAAAAAGGAAATAGAATCAATCTGCAATGTCAGCTATTCCAGCTACTGTCAATCATTTTCTCATGTTCCGTCATGTTTCTCTCTATCTCCTTTTTCTCATCGCCTAATAGGATGAAATGAGGCGATATTACTATCATCTTCTGTAGAGCTTTGATCACGGCGAGTTTCTAACATCGTTAAAATTTCATTTGATACTAGAAAAGATGATCTGAAAGACGTAAATCTTAAGCACAGATGACCTATCCGAGAGTGTCTATTCTGAAGACTTATATAAAAGTATAACTAGTGTTTGAATGATCATTACACTTTATGCTTGTATAGCGTACATTTCACATTTTTTATTATCTGTGCAAATTTTATTTGAAAATTATTAGATAGTCCAAATGCATCGATCCAAAAAGATCCTCGATTAATCATGGAATAATACAGGTAACAATTGAAGAGAAGAAAATCTATTCTTCATAATTGAAATTTACTTTTCTAATTAAGGAAGTGCATAAGAAACGAATCTCCGCACGACGAATCAAATACACAATGTCACCTTTGGATACAGTTATAAGGTACCAGATGGCCACAACTAATCTTTACAGAATTTGTGGACCAATACAGATCATTCTGGGAAGTATAGGCGGATTGTTCTGTCTGTGTGTATTTGGACAGAAATCAATGCGTAAAAATCCAGGTTCCATCTATTTTATTGCATTTAACATAGGCAATATTCTTGTTATATGGATTTGTCTCATCCCATTTGTTTACCGTTACATGACTGGTATCGATTTTACTATATCCAATCTGATTTATTGTCGATTACGAACATATCTATTGGATGTGCTCACCATACTACCACCATACTATCTGATTTTGGCTTCAATCGATCGAACATTAGTCACTTCTCGTAATGCACGGATACGACAGCGAAGTACTCGTTGTTTGGCTTTCTGGACAATTAGTAGCATAACTCTTCTGTGGCTTCTGTACTATTTTCCCGTTTGGTTTCTTACCAATATTCAAACACCTGCTCCTGGCTTTTATATTTGTTTCTTCGAACCTGGCGTTTATTCAGTGTTTATGAGCTATTCTACGATGACAATAAGCGGTTTTTTATCTCCTTTACTAATGGCAATCTTTGGCATGATGACAATGAGAAATTTTCGACGATCTCGAGTTCAACCAACCACAAATCAAAATAACATCACTGCATTATCATCGAAAGATCGTCAATTAGCCATTATGTTATTATTTGAAATTCTTATTGCTGTTGTCTTCTCATCGATAGGATCAATCCTTTATGTTTACACACAAAGAATTCCAAATGAAAGAAAAACTCTGGAACAACAGGCATTGGATTATTTTCTTCTAGATTTCGGTTTAAATCTCGTATTTATACAAGCTTCTCTAAGTTGTTATTCAAATTTTATCGTTTCAAAAACATTTCGCAAAAATATTCAAAAACTTGTTTGGAAAATAATGCCTCGTATTTGTCGTCGAAAGTTGACGAATCACGGACCAAATATGTCATCAAATAATTTAAATATCCCTGCTACGGCTATAACAGTTCGGCCACGCACAGTTATTATACAGTAATGACACCTATTAATGCTGTTATAGACATTTTCTTTGTTGTCATGTTTCTGTATTCGTTTAAATTTTTGCATTAATATCTATATCGATGTTATTCTAAGTTCAGCATGAGATCGAATCCTGAAAAATGCTCAGAGTATGAGATAATACTCGAATCGCTGCAAAAGTTTGTTTCGATGTGTTCCAGACATTCGTTTGAAATTGCCTAGATGCCAATTTCATACGAGTCGAGCATTATGTTCGATCATCTTTGACTTAGAATTTCAATCAAATCAATGTGCGAGAAATTCGACGAGAAACCGAATATTCGAAAATCTTTTGTGTTGACATGCATTGCTCGATATTTTTGATCTTTAATTGATCAATCTTGGTGAAATTATCAATCATTGTTGAGTTTTCATCCAATATGATTCATTTCAGGCCTTCGATTTGAATTTTAGTACATCACTGTCATTGTTCTTGTCGAGCACAAATCAGACGAGATCGATGATATACTCCTTCGAGTTTGAGACTATTGATCATTATCAATTAATTGAATGAAGTGAAAAGAGATACGAATGTTTCAAATTTGCACACGAAAAAATTGATCAATGATGGAAAATTATTAGCTAGGTGTGATATTTCTATGAGCTTGGGTGTGGATCTGGAGTGTAGTCAGTGAAGTGTCCATCGTGTTTAAGTACCGCCATAATGTGTCAATTTGTTAGGCTTCTTGTGAAGGTAGTTTGAGACTCACTTCAGAGCAAAGCACATAACGGAGTGGTGCTCCAGTTCTGCCCTACCATTCAATAGAACACATAGTAACAGCAGGACAGAACAGAAGAGAACAGGATAAGAATAATTTTTATATGCTCACTTCGGTTCTGTATGTTGCTTGTCTTCACCATATATTTGGTGTATATGCTATCAAAACATTTGTACATTGTTCTATTTTTTTATTATCATTATGATTATTAAAATAGATATTAATTTGAAGGTATGATTGTTTCAAAATCAAACAAATTCACTATGAGCCGATTAACTTCTTACAAGCTATTTTCTTATCAATAAGAAGATCGTTTATTGCTGATTATACCAGTGAGAAGTACAACTCTCACAAATACACTAACACGCCATAGCCACATCTCACACGAACATCCACACTGGTATTCACATCTCACATCTCACATCTCACATCCATATCCACTTATATTCACACTCAAGGAAATCGATGAAATAATGTATATTTCGATGATGTCGGAAATGATGCACGATCTATTGGCTATTTTGATTCCAGATCTGATATTGATTATAATGAGTTTAGAGAACTCATGAGATCAGAATGCTAAAATATATCCCGTCCTTCTTCGATTGATAATGTCGACATTGCAATTTAGAATCAGTTTCATTTCGGAACAGTGAACTGTTTCAAACAGTAAATAAGACAGGTGCTTTTCTCTTATATTCTCACTTTCATTAACAATATGCTACTGTTTTTCATCGCTTTCATCAACGAAATTAAACTTCAGTCGATTTTATGCGCACCACAGTTGATGAGCATCAATGATTGATTAGTCTTCGGTAGCACTCGATCCACTTGCAGTTGACTCTACTTTTCATAGAATCAAAACACGGGTGTGGATGTAAGTGTGTCGGCTTGGTTGAAGCTAAGGAATACACTGCCAGCCACACTAACACCCACATATTTTATCGAGTAATAGATATAAATGACAAAGAAAAAGAATTGCAGTTCGCACAAGGAAACGCCATTATAATCAATTCTTGTTTCGAGCGAGTTTTCCTTAGCTTCAAACGATCAATTTCAATCGAGCCGCTGTTTCAATTTGCAACATATTTATGTATGATGGATATTTATTGACAAGAACCTTCTGATAATCATATCAGTCCAAATACTCTGACCGAAATGATGGTACACTCTCCCATATCTTTGACACTTCTACATAGCTGTCATCAACGTTTTTTTTTGTAGGAAGAAAATTGATGGTTAATGAAGAATAAAAAGAAAAGAATGATGACTAATATTATTAACAAATAATGTCGACATAAGCAAAAACGAAATGAAATCGATAAGAAAGCAGAGGACATTATATAGAGAAGCAAATCAAGTAAGCCGTGAAAAATATCATATCGAATATTGTTCAATTGATGCAATAGTTAAAAAATAATTTCAATGTTAAGTTCGTCGGATTTAGTAATATGTAGACTATTTTTTATGTTAATTACGGAAAGTTCATGGTGATTCACTAATATGTTCGAACATATCATGTTTGATCCATGTTGGTGTTTTTAATATTTGTCCTCTTCCGAAGACATACAACGGTGACAAATCCGTTTGATTCAGAACAAGAATATCAGCATCATAACCTTCGGCCAAAAAGCCTTTCCTTTTCAAATTAAGGTATGTTGCTGGATTTGCTGTTGAAAATTGGATCGCTTCTTCGATGGGCCACGAATGTTTCAAAACTAAATTTTGTATCGTTCTCAAAGTTAAATCTGGAAGACCCATACTATAAGAAATTAAGCGACCCGAAGAATCGTATTGAGGAAATGATCTAAACGAGAAAGCAAGTTTTGTTTTCAAGATCAAGTTCAGGTTCGACTAGGAACTAGTTCGTGTCAGTTCTCTTAACAGTACTATCCTACAATAGAATCTTTATCATTATTTCAAAAATATTCTCTAGAAAAAAGTCAAACAAGATGTCTTATACAATATTGAACATCCAAGTCTCGACGCAAAGAGTAGGCGTCAAACTCAATTTATTCGATTTCTTTTTTTCTTTCCATCGAATTATATTGTACAAGTAAGTAAAAACGAAAGCTTGCCTTTACAAAAAATCCTATTTGACTCTGATCAGAACCGATTCATATTCCCTAAAGCTTATCATTAAGTTTTCTATCAATCGAAAGTACTCTTACGAAATGTATGAAGGAAAACTGCAACATCAGCTAGAGAGTTAAATGCATGTGCAATATGCTTTGAAAATAGCTCACTTTTTGTTCTTTATAACCAATTCGATTCAGATCGGAAACAAGAAGAAACTTAAGATAACACTTTTTTCGGGTTAATACAAAGAAATTTACATTCTCTATAGTAGTAAAATGTACTCTAATGTGAACTAATATTCATACCCGTAAGCATCACTGGATACTGTAATTTGTTTCAATGGTAATTTTTCTGTTCGAAACTTATTCAACGTATTGATTGTGTCAGTTTCATTGAGCATTTCTGCATCAGCAGTAAAATCACACATACCGCCGGCTTTGATCCATTTTCTGGCTTCCGCAATCAGATCATCTCCTCGCGATGACATATGAGTCAAATATATGTGTTGAATTGGAATGGTTGTTTCGTTTAAAATTTGCCAAAGCAAATCGATTTTTGTCGGAGCTGAACCCATATGAAAGTGAATCACACCTGATTTTCCACTGAGCATTCCAGCGACTCGTACATCACTAAGTAGCTGTTTAAGTTCAGATTTCGATGGCCAACTCGATCGATGATCACTGAGTGCTAACTCACCAGCTCCTAGGACTTTATCAATCAAGAGTACATCTTGTTGAAGTGATCCGGTGAGTGTAACGATTGGAATACGATAACTTCCAGTCCACATCCACGTCGAAAGACCATCATGTTCCAGACTCTGAAATTAAAAAATAATTCAAAAACAAAGATAAAAAAGTTCGCTGTGAACAGTCGTGTTTTACTCAACACGACTTTTTGTATATAGAGATATTTCTTTGCTCGATTTCAGTTCTTTCTGATGTTGAGAATTGTTGATATAAAGAACTTACTTTCATTTTTTGTAACAACGAGGACAGACTAAAACAAAAGATAATAGTATAACACCACGTAGCCTTAAAATCCTTCCAGAATCTTTCAAAACTTAAAGACTGGCTTGCAAAGCTATGTTGACGGTGAAAGCTCCGATTTGATGGTCGTGACACCTGGATGTGTCATATCTCTCTATTTGGCTCTATGGAACAATAATCAGAAAATAAGACACGACATTGTCATTGCGTCCAAAGCATCCTTTAGACGAATGACAACATTTCTGGAGATTCAATAGGCAGTGAAGCACGTCGAAGAACGTGTCACACGAAGTAAAAAAATGACTCATGAAAGAAAAGTTTTTGTACGATGACTTAGATGAAACGAATTCTATCCGTATGCCTGATTAGAAAATACGCTGCTGACCTCTTCTGAAACATATCCTCGATTAAATCGAATGCTTTTACAATTTCTGAAGCTGTATAGTGCAATGGGTTATGATTTTCTTGAATGATTATCATTCATGCATTGAGCATTGTGAGAAACGAAGAAACATTGAAAATTGGATCATGACAAGCAAAGCAATCAAAAATGATGGCTTAATTTAACTAACCTTCTCGTAACACCATCAGTTCCCAGTATTCCAACAATCGTCGTCAATCCACCTCTTATCAATTGAGATAAACGGCTTTCAGGAGTTCGAGAATACGGACCTGAAAAGAAAATAAACACAAGGAGTCGTTGTACCTTTGAGAAAACCAAAGTTGAACTTGACTCTGACTGTAGAACGTATTCATTGACAATAGTAATAAGTCTTAACCATTCCTACAACAGTGTTACGATTTTGGGGATTTGTTTTTGAGTTCAAAATCTATGTCATTTCAAAAGAAATACCACTGTCCACTGACTGGAATAAACTATGCAATCAACGTACATTGATCACACAGTAGTTTTTGTTTCTCTAAAGAAAGCTAGTCCAAAAGTGAGTCAGATCGGTGTGAATTTCTTGAAAATAGCTTTTGAAACATATGACAAGGCTAAATCAGTCAGCAAACCTTGTTCTCCGCCACCTCCAATGGCATGAACGTGGACATCGACGAGTCCTGGTATAATAATTTGATCTTGAACAGAAATGGGTAGAATGGTCAACTGGCTATCTCGGATTGAATTAATGAATGCAGCCGTTTTTGATGGTTCCATCATGCTCAATATTCTGCCACCTGCCATGACCACG